TTTAATTTTGATTTTCAGTTGATTTATATCAGCTTTTCTCCCCTTGGGCAAGGATCAAAGGCTACGAGGGTAAAAGGCTATACGGAGATGAGACTATAATATGGTAAAGGCATAACGGCAAGGGGGGGAAAGCTCATTCGTAGCCATTCGAATGGCTCCGAATGGATGCGAATGTATACGAATGGGTGCGAATGGAAAGGAATGGATGGGAATACGTGTGGGACTTTAACTTTAAAAAAATCAAAGTTAAAGTAAAATATGTTTACGATGAACTTAGTAAACATTTGTGACTATCTCAAGAGAGCATTTACTGCAGCTGCAGCGGTACCCTTGGGTCATCAACTGTTATACTATAGGAACACCCTTAGGCCTTTAAGTGTTATACTATAGGGGTACCCTTAGGGTTTTAACTGTTACACCGTAGGGGCACTCTGAGGTCCTCAAGGTCTATACCATAGAGCTACGGTAGCTCTATAGTATAGGGCTTGAGGACCTAAGGGTAGCTCTAGGCATGTAACAATACCATTATGGTATTGGGGTATTGGGATTGATATTCACCAATGCCAGTTAACTGGATACCCAGTCCGCCTGGACCAGTCAATTAGAATACACGACAATCGATCTCAGTCAGTTTACATCCTATATTGAAAGTTCTACGAGCATTATTGTAGAGCACCCTTGAAAACCCCCTGTTGGAGTTATCAGAACTATGTTTCATACTTCAAATAAGGGAAAAGATCCACCTGAAATCTGTTGCGGACAAACTCACAAACATACAGTCAATTTCGAAATTGAGACCCTGACTACAGTCAAGGGAATAGGCCTTGAGGACCTATGGGTAATCTTGTAGTACAACAGTTGAGGACCTAAGAGTACTCCTATAGTATAGCACTTACGGACCTAAGGGTACCTCTGTAGTATAGCACTTGAGGAACTAAGAGTACCCCTATAGTACAGGCCTTGAGGACCTAAGGGTTCCCGTGTAGAAAATACTCTTTTAAGAAAGTGAGAGATGTTGACTAAGTTCATCGATGGGAATGGACAAGAATAGTTGGGAATGACTGGGAATGGTTGCGGATGGTTGGGAATGGATGCGAGTGGTTGGGAATGGATGGAAATGGATGGGAATGCCCGAATAGCTTTTCCCCCCTTGTATAAAGGGGTAATCCTCTAAGGCTACAAGGGTACAAAGCTACAAGGCATAAGGGTAAAGGATATAAGGCTATAAGATCTATCTGTATATATATATATATATATAATGCGAAGTGTATGATCGTTTCTTTCCCCCTCAAGGTTAAAGCACAGGTTTGAAACATTATAGGAAAACAACAGCCGTGCAGTATACACGGGTTTTCGCTAGTGTAGAATATTGTCGAAAGGACATTTTTACAAGAGGACTTTTTGGCAAAGGACATTAAAGTCGAGGACATTTATCTACAGGACATTATGCACGAAGACGAAAATACGAGGACATTTTTGCAAGAACGTTATCCCAAGGACATTTGTATAAGTATTCTGTTTAGATTAAGAAAGCCCTTCTTGTCCAGTTTCATGCTACAGAGTCTAACTCTTGTTTTCTATCTTTCATTGTTGATTCGATCTTTGTAAATCATTTTGTCAGTTTACAATAAAGAAACCGTGGTGTACGAAAGAAGAAAAAAAAGATCTTTGCTCAACAGCGTAGATTCTCGGTGTCTCTCTTGAGACCGAAGCATAGCCGCACTTCTTGATATCGACTGATTCTGTTGGTCTGCTGTGGCGTTGGTCCACATTCGAGACTGTTGATGATTTGAGTCGTGGCACCAAAGTTTCCTTGCCGTGACGGTTGACCTATGTTGTTAGCATCCCAGAACCACATGCCAGTCGCAGCAGCCACTGCATCCGACTCGGCAACCTTCTCTGGGGTTTTCAGGAGATCAATACCAAGAGCTTGGCCAGCTGCATTGTAGTTGCATGGAAAGGATAGTTTAAACCAGCCGCGACCGTAATAGTGCTTGCCCGGCTCTGCGGTGGCCGACCCACACCAGGAAATTTGATAACTGCTAGCACATTCCTTCGACTTTCCACAATATTCTTCATACATCTGTAAGCCATCCGTCTCATGTGAGATATGTGCAAAAAACATGATCAGTTCGTTCTGATTTTGGGGTTCGAATGACATCATCGACAGTGCCTCTTGATAACCTAGAAAACATCCGAAGAAGAGAATATTTGTTTGCTTCGTCAGCTTCGAACGAGTACCTTGCCAGCGTTTGTCTCTAACATCTTCACTCAGTTTCCCAAAGATACAGTCGAACTGTTCTCGAGTGATCTTGTTATTCGTCTCCGAACCACTACCAGATGTGGTAGTCTTCTGAGTCGTTGTTGCCGTAGTCCTGTTGGTCGTACTTGTCGTGATTCTAGTTGTGGTCGTTGTCGCTCTTGTTGTCGTCGAACCGGTACCGCAATGAAGAGGCGAGTCGCCGCAACTAGAATGGAATATCAGAGAGAAGTTGTAACCGAGAGTCTGCAATGAGAAATATCCTTACAAGCCCCATTTGGAACAACAGAAGCCAGGACTGCAACCAACTCTTGCACAATCTTGTCCTGCCAATAAAAGTACGCAGACGTGCATGCGTTGTCCAGAGAGAGGGAAACGAATACTCACCGTGGGATATCTTCACTAGAATCAAGATAACGGAAAGGCACATTGGAATGGCTTGAAACATGCTCGTCATTTCGTGCACAAGTATTACAGGAATAGCTTTCTTTCAAAATGAAAAATAATCAAACTACAAGAGTATATATACACTACACTGAAAAACAAAATTCGGAGAATAGTAAACCCTCAAAAAGGGTTTATAACTGAAAAATTCGTTTATTAACGTGCTGTACGCCTTGATAAACCTTTTTTTCTTGAGAAACCCACGAAGGGTTTGTTATACGTTGCAAACTGATAAACCCAAGGGTTGATTCTTGAGGGTGTGGGTGTGGGTGGGTGGGTGTGGGTGTGGGTGTGGGTGTGGGTAAGTTATATATATATCTAGTCACACACCCACACCCACACCCACACCCACACCCACACCCACACCCACACCCACACTCACACCCACACACCCACACCCACACCCACACCCACACCCACACCACCCACACCCAAGATTTGCAGTCCACCTGGCAACTTTCATGATAAAAAAGGTTAAGAAACTCAATTATGACTTACGAGTATTAGTCGAAATAGATCCACCATGGATATTTCACTCGAAAGTATTAGCGATGGAAATAGCCACCAGAGTTACCATGTCTTTTGTCGCTCACCTACAGAACATAGAGATATAGGTCGGGGGCAAAACTGAGATTTGAACAAATTTACAATACGTTCAGATAGATTTGGGATCCTAGTTTCGTCCGAGCAAAATCTGAACTGAACGGAGAATCCGTATGAATGATTCATCGAGGAATGCAGAATATTCTCGTTGTTGTTTTTTCGAGTGTTAGCTCCAGTTGTCATAACGGCAATGGGAAAAACTTGATTGTTTCAATAAACGAAAGAGGATCTAGCTATTTCGCAACAAGTCGAAGTATTTTTAATTCTATTGATTCTTCCGTTCAGTTCTAGTTTTGCTCGGACGAAACTGGGATCCTAAGTCTCTCCGAAAAAGTCTGTAGTCTACCCGGACGAAAGCAGGATTCGGAAACTGCCCGGGAGAAAGTTCTGAATAAAGTTGAGATTCTGATTGCGTCCGGGCAGAAATGGAATTAGAATTTCGTTCAAAAACTTCAGGTCAAAACTCGAATTTCAGTTTTGTCCCCGACATATGTATATGTTTATTTAAACAGCGGAGGTCATTGAGTCACTGACTTTTCAGACATTGGGAAAGCTGTTTTTTCTTCCAGACGGACAAGCTTTTCACAAAATGTGAGAAAAACCATTTTCCCTTAAGATTCGGTCACAATCCCTACTGAAAAAACCCGGCGCGAAAGGGTTAATAGAACGTTTGAATGCCTGTCTTACGTAAAGACAAGTAAAGATGACTATAGTGACGACGATCTCTACTATAACACCTATCCGAACAAGATCACTCTATTCATTTATTTACAGATCCTAGAAAAGTTTTCACCGTAACATCAAGAATGAAAAAGAATTCTTTTAACAGCTTTGGCATTTGCAATTACATCAGTTGGATTCGATGAGTTTTCTATGGTGAACAGCACCTTCACTCACTCGTCCCTACAATCACTATCAAGAAAACGCTTAAAAAAACAGAGAAAAAAAAGAATGTATTTCGATTATACTTGCTTGAATCAGAAGTAGGGAGCTGATCAAAATTGACATTAAATCTATATATAATTGCATTGGTAACCTGAGACATCCTTCACGATTGTCTTTGATATGATTGCTAACGAAATAGAAACATTTCACTTCATTCGATCCGCGCACAACTATCATCAAATAAGCCTTTAGCAAATGTTTGAAATATTTTTCTCGGCGACAAGGGCCAATTTTATCAAATATAATACTATTGTGGGCGGGTAGAAGGATTGTAAAGGCATTGCATATTGACTGATATGATATAAATACTTGATTACGAGCCTGCTACACCAATTCAATTCTTTCGCCATTTCATCAGTTCCACTCAAAGAGACGTGATATGTCTTTGAAAACGTGTATTGGTCTCCTTTTCATGTTCAGTTTTATTCTATCGATTTCTGCTCATGCTCGAATTCGGCGTCCTATACCTTTAGCTGCTGTCCCTGAAAATCCATCCGGGAACGAATACAATAAACCCTTGAGAATACAAGGAAACGCGTTTCCTTTTCCCTGCAAGAATCTGCACAAACAAGCGGGAGTAAATAAAGCACCTACCGAAGTTTGGCAAGCAGGTCGCATGGGAAGATTTGAGTAAGTAGTTTTCTGATAAGATTTATGAATATGATGATGAACTAATCGATTGTCTGGTTTAGAATTCTCAATCATATGTCCGATGGTGAAGGCAATTTGGCTCCCCATAGTGGGGGAAGTTGCCAGGCTTCCTTGTCGTTTGATAATGGAGAAACCTGGAAAGTTCTGCATACTTATCAGGGTGGTTGTCCTCGTGATGTAAAATTTCGTTCGGAAAGAGCTGGTCCCAATCAGGTATTCTTCTTTTATGTACCTGCAGAGACCCGAGCAGGTGCAGCGCTATTTTCTTGGTGAGTCTGCCATACACGCTCATTAGGCATCCTAGGCTAACTTTGACTATCGTGATTGTTTTCTAGGAGTTGGTTTGCAGTGACTCCAAGTCGTCCCGAAATGTTTCAAAGTAGGTAGCTCATATAGATTTCATATATTCTCGTAAAAAATGATAACCTGTCTTTTATTTTGAGATTGTGCGTCGGTGATGATTGCGGGTTCGGGCAACGATACACTAGATCATCTTCCCGATATGTTTGTCGGTGATCTTACTATCGCAGGGCATATAGATCAAGGTGAATGCCGTACTACATTAGGATATGCAGTGGTCTTTCCAGATCCTGGTACCGCTTTGACTATCACTGAAGTCCCTGGTGTCATATTCAAGGAGCCCACCGCTGGTAAATGTTATGCGAAAGGATCTAAAAACAAAGCTGCTACTGTTGATCAAATGTGAAGTCTAGATCTTCCACAGATGAGAAAACAGGACCTTCATCCTATTGACAAGTTGTTTTGCTTGTATCCTTCACAGATTGAGATCTGAAAAAAAATACCTAACAAAATTCAGATTTATTGTGAATCTTTCTGTGAATTGAATGGGAGTTTAGTGACATGGTAGGCTTAATGCAGTCGAGACACATCATTTCATTCACACCACGTTGTCTTAAAAGGTTCATTATTCGAATTGCATTGATTCTGATTCAAATTGGTCTTGAAGCGAGCAGCACTCAATACAATCTTAGTTAAATCAATTGAAAATTGAGGGAGTGAATGGGGAGGGGGGATGGTTCGAAAAACTACCACAAAATATTACTAGCTGAAATATTTTTCCTTCCTGTTAAAGTAATATTTTATCAAGTGACAGAGTATGAGTGCAAAACTGATTCTAGTAGTCAGGAGAACAACAGAGGCAGTCGGAATTATTCTGTGTATACGTGTGACGGAGGTACCCGGAGTGTCCACTTGCTTTATATCTCATATTTTTATCGTAAGCAGACCTCAATGGATCTAGCAGAAAGCCAAAAGGATTTGGGCCCATGACTCTGTAGTCAAAAGTTATGACCATCTCACCGTTCATACAAAATATGTGATCAAGAGCCTGAATACTTCTTCTGAAAATCTTTCGATCTGAATAGTAAATTTTTCTGTAGTGACCATAATAGCCTACTATAATCAGCAAACACCATGCTCTTACGGTCTGTTTTTTATGAATGCCAAGCCTCGATTTCTAAAAACTTTCTAATACACTTCATCGCTTATCTTTTAGCTATATGAGAGACGTGTCTGATTAGCTATTCACATACAGTGATAGATAGTGAATGAAGTATCGTTGATGAAAATGATATTCTACAAAAAAATGGTCAAAGCATAAGCTCTTCTGGCACTAACTGCAACGAATAAAAAGAGATTGATCACAGTTCGTGGTCTGGTAAGAGACCGTGTGCTTGTCGAAGCATACCTCATCAACCGTTTTGAAAACTCCGGAACGTTTGTCGACATAGCCGCTGGCAAACTACACGTAGCGAATTAGACTATTGAAAACTTTAACAGACATTTGATTGTGCGTGAGCGAAACTAGGCGAATGATGTTATCTCGTGTATACATAGCAATTGGCAGTTGGTCGAGAATCACACGATCATAGGCATGAGGTATTATTGATTTCTTCTGTCGATTATAGAACACATCGAGTGGCTGCAATCGATCGGTAGTCTTCTGCGGGATAGCGAGACGTTTGCAACCTGGCACTTTCTTGTATATATCGACGTCGTCTTGTCCAGGTCAGGCGTCCAAGAGAAGAAGACACTCCTTGGGTGCATTCTGAGCTAGAACCATATCAGACCATTAATGAACGAGCGACTTGGTCAATTTGCCAGATATACTACATGTGATGACGAAATTTCTAGGTTGAAACATTTTTGCGCGAACGTCTAGGAGAGTTTAGACTGAAGCGGGAAAACATATACTGTATTCGATGTATGATCTTCTCGCCCTCTAGAAAGAGGTGCTGTTCATAATCGAACTAGAGACTTATGACATCTTTTGAGGGTGAGGGTGAGGGTATTGGCTTTTACCGTCACCATCACTCATACCCGCACACCCTCACCCTCACCCTCACACCCTCACCAATATCGCCCAAATACATATTGTTCTCAAGCACAGTCAGCTCCGTCGTACATGATGAAAATGCCCACCATATGACTGGGGTGCCCGGTGGAAAGTTTGCACTGATATTTTTAGTCACTCCTCGCCAAACGGTTGATGGTGGAACACATGGCAATTTAGTGAGTGCAGTTAAGAACAATTTCATATACTTGAAATAAGGTTGAAGATGTTCACGATTGTCTGTCTTGAGTGTGTGATTGGGTATGGAATAGAGACTTCGACGTCCTCCACTCCATTCGATAGTGTAAAGACGTATTGCAGCACTCTCATCGATTGTCAGTCCATCGGGTGGTTCTTCTGGAGTCTCATCTAGTGCCATTTGCACATAGACCATTACATCATGGATGATGTCGATAAGCGGAGCACATGCTTCAGCAAGTGGCAATAAAGGTTCTGCAGCGTATCCCACAATAGGTTCAAGATCCGCTTCGATATCATTTGTCCTGTTCGTACATTGATGATTTTCTTCCGTGATGCCAGTATCTACCATCCGTTGATTGTTGGTTTTGAAATTGATGTTTGTGCCATGGACAGTTGACATTTCCATTGTTTCTTGCTCCTGATCATTCATTTCGTCTCGGTGTAAGCTCAACTCTAATGCATCGAATGTAGCCAGTGATTCAATTATGATCTCATTATCTTCTTTCGTTGCTTTTGGTCGATCATTCCACTCTTTGTCATGAAGCCTTGCTGCTGTTTGTTCTTTCTTATCCTCGACATCTTTCATCGTTGCTATTTCTATCTTCTCGTTATTGATCTGCTCAGCTTGCTGTGCTAATGAATCTTGATGCTGAAAAATGAAAGACCAATTATTTTTCTCGATGGCAAACATAGTTAGTTAATAATAATTAAATTAACTGTGCTATTCCGCTTCGAGATTTTATAAGTAATGCACAAACCAAGAAAAGCAACGATTTTACCAAGTTATGATTTATAACTTCAATTGAAAAGACACTTCTCTTCTCTGATATTAAATATGCTAGCTATCATAAACTAATGACTTATATGTTGTACGATCGAGATATGGCAAATAGAGTACAGACTATCGTTCTAACCATAGAACGCAAATTCATATTTAGCGGATTTTTAAATCGTATAAAATATATAAACCAGCCGAAGATGATTATGGCACTTGTGTCAATAAGTGACAGACATACTTATGCTTCATAAATACGGCGACAAAACTCTGTCTGTAGCCCTCATTTGTGAAAAGATGAAATACATACTAACTCCACTCTCTAATACTCGATGTTCTATTTTGGAACCTTCTTTCGTTCTTTCAAGGAGGTTTTCTTCGTGTTCTTCTATACAAGAGCGTGTCTTATGTTATAAACATTTATATATAGGATAGCTGCATCTTTACTCTTTCAGTTTGTCATTGTCAACACAACGAAATAGCTTGTCGATATTTCGTTGTAGTAGTATCATCCTAGAATACCAACAGCATCTAATATGAACGCTGCTCAATAACTTCAGTTTTTCTGCCTGGAGATGTTACTGTAATCTAAACTTGATGTAAAGATGAAAAAGACTATTTTACCTTCCTGATGCCTAATAGCAGTGATATATATCAAGCACCCTAATATCTCATTTAGCCAAAGTGCTGTGACAACCAGAATCTAGTAGTTGTACGCATCTTTCAACGTATTTACCGTTCAGTCGCAGCTCACAATCATTCCGACACGCAATTTACTACTAGAAACAACTTCAAACTTGCTGAGTCTTATATACATGAATTCATCTGTCATCTGTAGCTTCTAAAATAGGCACCATTATATTCAATACAAATAGCATGCCACATGATTGCCGTTTAGCAAACATAAGCGAAATTCTAACCTGTAATAGCTATACAAGCATATAATTTTACGTTGTTCTTTTTTATAGTCTATTCGTAAAATGCGCGCTTTTTATGATTTCGATTCCGATCAAGGTTTTATGCTTGAGTAGCGAACAATATAACAAGATGACTACTTAATTGTTTCAGTTCTATTCTCACCACAGACAAATACACGATAATTCCTCAAAGAAGCTCGACTGCATACAAAAAATTTACCTAAGCTTTAGTGCAATATGGAAACGAGACCTTTAATATGTTACTTCATATCTTTTTTAGTATAGCTCATCCACTACTGTTAAAAATTAGCCAGATGTAAAGAGAGGATGAACTTTTAATCACCAATATTTCATCTGTATTTGTTCACAACTACTTAACAATCAAAGACGCAAGTAACAACCATCACAAGGCACTGATGATAGTAACTCCCTGGTGAAAATGCTTAGCTATCTACTTCTATAGATGTTTTCTATTATCCTGAATTATAAATCCTTCTAATTATGTCATATGAACCAAACTCTAGACATTTGAAACATGCGGTTTTCGTACACTATTCTGTTAATAAATGAGATTGGTCATAATAAACTCTAATCATTGTATCAAGCAGCACAACCCAGTTCGAGAGATTCTTCAAAAGCGAATTCAACCACATTTTCGAAGTGTTTTTTGTTTAAATTCTTTTGACCTCGAAAGTTAGAAGTGGCCCAGGAAGCGTCTTTGGTTAAAAAAAATGGCAATCCTTATACAAACAATATCGTGGTCCAGGACAAATTTTCGGAAGGTACAAGTTAAGGTGGGGGCAAAAAGTTTAGTACACCTGTACTTTGAGATGTCGTCGAGCTGCACTCAATCTGTAAAAGGTCTCAGCGCCGATTTTCGTTGTTTTTTTTCGAAAATTCAGGCGTTGGTAAATTGAATGCAGCTCGACGTCATATCATTTTAATCAGAAATATTTGCTCTATCAGATGAGCTGATTCGAAAAATAGTTTCGATACAACCATGAAAACCGATTTCTGAGAGGTATCTGTTTTCCAGCCACCCTTGTCCTAAAAATCGTGATGGATGTTACAAAAACACCTTTCATGATAAAATACTCTTTCAGCTACTCAAATCTTTTTTCTAATTCGTTCTAACTATTACTGTTAAGAATATATCTCAAAGTACAAGTGTACTAAACATTTTGCTCCCACCTTAACTTACACGTTGGGAAGAAAAGGTCTGGAAATCGAGATTATTTGTATGACGTGTTACCATTTTCCTTATCGAGGACATTTCCTAGACCGCTCTCAACTTTCTGAGTCAAAAAAAAACACTTTCCAAAAATGGGTGGATATCCGTGGATGCACGAGCAACATTGTTCGACCTGGGTCACGCTTTTCCGGTTCTACCCGATCCTAAACATTTTTTAGTACTAGTATTTTTTCTTCTTCCGCTAGAAAAAGAATTTCAATCTTTTTCTTCCAACTCATTTCACATTTGAAAACAAAACATATTATCCTATTCCTTTTTTACCCTCTGTATTTCGTCGATGTTGTGCAATTGCTATAGCAACGTTATATGATATAGCGATCTAGAGCTTTTCTTTATTTGTTTTCTGTCTTTTTTATATACAACCCAAGACTTTTATCCACCATTTAGTGAACAGCACATTAGCAATTTTTTGTTGCCGCAAACCAATGAAAAAAACAGTGAAATACAATAAAAGAATGTGCGATAGATAGCATCTTGGCCCACTGCGTGCTTTCACGTTCTTTGGTAGAACTTTTCAATGAAAAAATACTCAGAAATTTTTGTGTCACTCCAACGTTCAGATTGCTGATCCAATTCGAATCGAATCGACTTTGATGAATAATAAATTCGTTTGTCTACTACCCAAAATTAGAGCCCATTGGGTCTAAGAATTTTTGGGGTCCGGACCCGATCGATCAAAATTTTCGGGTTCAGATCTGATTGATAAATCTTTTGTGGGTCTAGAGAGACACGTTTGTCTTTAGAAACGAATTCGTAGTTTTTTGAAAAAAACCGAATGGAAAGTTAGAGAAATTGAAATAATATTACAGTATGCATCACATGTTTCTTCCGGTCAGTAAAAGCTTCTAGACCCAGATACGGACCGAGACCCGATGGGCTCTACTCAAAACACTGACTGAAATAAAATTTGTTTATCTATATTCTGCGGAATGTTTACAGCATTAACAGGACTATTCTGTATCTTACGATAACACATCAACGCTCAACCAACTGAAACGGTAGTGACAATGTTCATATTCTCCCACACTAGACGTTGATTTCTCTATCAACTATAACTATCGCGTTCAAAAAGCACTATCTAATCATTACTAAGTAGATCTTTAAAAAAATATCGCACGCTCTTTATTTGCAATTTTCTGCGAAAGTTGTTTTCGTTTTCATGTAGTATTAAGCGTTGCATACCTCGTTCATAATGGATTCCATTGTTGACCTTTATATTTGTTCGTGCTTTTGATCGATCGCGAAGTTTGTGATGTTATCGATTGTTCACCGTTTATAGATTGTTATTGCAGACTGTCTTAAAACAAAAATGAAAAGACATAAGCATTTGTGACCAGCAAGGAATTATCCGGTGGCTCAGAGGTAATATTTTTTTTCTCTTTCAGGGTTTTTAAAGTATAATCTCAGTCAACTTTCGGGCATTCTTCCACTATAGTACTTATCGTGAAAGTCTCTATGAAACGATGAAATATATATCACTAATACGCTAGCGCCATTGACTAACCATCGATGAAATTACATTCACAAATATATAGAGCTTTTAAAACAATTTCAAATACTAATTTTTATGGATCATTTTGATTCTTCTATGAACCTTTATCTAGATGAAAAACGATTTCAATCTAGTTTGTAAATCAATTTATTCGTAATAAAATTATTTTAATGAAATTCGCGCGATCTTTTATAAAACAACTTGTCTCTAATCATGAACTATAAAACATTAGTGCGCTAATATTTATAGATAAAGTTAGCAGCGGATGTGAGCGATTATAGGGGCCATTCGCCCAGAGACGTGTTCCAAACCTTCCACGTCTGTTTCAAGTACAACTCGACGAGCTCTACCTGATTGTATGATTGAATTTTTGATAGCTCAAAGTATAATCTTCAGATTCTCACTAGCGCCATCTATCAGTCCAAAAATCATACTTTGAGCTATCAAAAGTGCGAGCATAGCATCGGATTGAGCTGTAATTAGAACAAGAATAGGAGCTTTGGAACATGTTCCTGAACGAATCGCCGTTGGAATTACTGGAATCCACTACTAACGTTCACCTGTGTCGTTACCATCTCGAGGCAAAGATATGACTATCAAAAATATATTTATCTTGGTGAGGAGTAGATTAGTTATATTCCAACTAAATGTGCTACAATATTTATTACTCTGAAAAGTTATCGCAAAGAAATTTGATGCAACTTGAAAGTATTATTCTGGGTCACAAAATCTTCAAATTTTTTCTATTCCGGAGAACTAACCAGCATCGAGCATAGCCATTCGCTTGATCTAGGTGTCCTATTGCTGCTACCAAATTCGATTTTTTGTTGGAGGTTTTTGGCTAGAATCGGCGGAACGTAGAAGCGATATTCCGATCGAAATGTCTCTACATTTTTTTAAGTGCTTTCTTGTAGAAACCGATCCGTACGCTTTTCATCTAGGTGATGTTTTATTTTAGAGACTACGAGAGAGGATCTGGATTACCTCTAAATTGATTTTTACATTGACACACTTAGTAGATTCCTATTATATGTCAGCATAAGAGTATGTGCGTTGACATTTTAGGATTTTATCAAAGTAATAGACGGTCACAAAATAGGACTGCTCTAGTGCTCTGTCTGGTCATTCAAAGTGGAGGAATTTTTTAGGCCAATTCTGCTTGGCCGATACGACAAAACTGTTATGTAATAATTGAGGGTGTATAATGTTTTCATAACATGCATCGCTCAATTGTACCATTCTTTAGAAACGTATGAATAAAATATGAATATTAAAACTACAAACGATCAGAATTTATCAGACTATTAGCCTTCCTAATAGCAAACTCAATTTACATGCTCTGCGATGAGAAGACTCTCTGTAAATTCGCCGATTGGTAAAAACTGCAATTGAAGAAATCAGGAATTGGGCGATAAGATTTTATGTCGATGAGAGCATGACAGGATAGGATAAAAAGACTGTCCAGGAATGTCTATGTTCTAAAGTCCACATGAAGTACATCCAATTACAGGATTCAGAGGCCGTAAAACTTTGAGAACTAAATTTAGATGGAGTTGGAATGGTCGATCTTATCAGAGTAAACAGAATCTATTTAATATCCAACACGATTGGCAGCATCCTACAGAGCTCTTATCAAAAATCCGATGGTTGAAATATCTACTGATTCCAACAGTCGGATGCTAGTGAAAATTCAATAGCATCAAATCGTTGACATCTTTGGTGTTCATTTTCTGAGTGATTTAGAGAGAGGGGACTGTTCCGCAAATATAAATAAGGCCCAGAAGAAAACGGGATATCGTCGACTGATTTGTTCATAATTTGCCCGAATAGCATTATAAATCAGAATAGAACCAATTTAATTCGAGATTCCTGAGCCAGGACCGGTCCCTATATCTTGGTCTTCCTGTGCCCGACCCCACATTCAGTTTAAAGAACTTTTTGTGAAACACGACCTGAAAGGAGTGTTGAAGTGTTAAAGGGTAAAAATTTTCATCCCCCATCCCCCCCCCCCCCCCCCACTAACGTCACCGACAAAGCGTAACAGACGTGACCGACAGGTGATCATACATAGTGATCACCATAGAATAATAGTCCATCACAGATGTAACCAACTAAACATCACTGACGCGACCGACAAAGCACCACAGACGTGACCGACAATGAATTAAAAAACTATCATAAATGTAACCAATATCACATTATAGACCATCACAGGCATGACCCACAAGACGTCACAAGTGATGATCAATATGACTATTGTAATTTCAACTGTTGCCAGAAATATAGACCCAACATATACAAAATTTTAAAAAAATTAAGAATAGTATATTATTGTAAAACTTTACTTATGATAATAGATACAGTGTAGAGAAATGAAATTTTATTCGCTAGGTATTTCTGAATCCGGTTTTAACAGAAATGGATAAAAAAATCTTGTAATAGGTTCAGAGTTTATGAAATTTTTGTGGTCTGTATATAGTGAAGATGTCCAGCTATTTACATCTTCATTTGAATGGTGTAACTTTTCTTGTTGACGTTTTAATCTTCTATAATTTCGATCTTTCTCTTGTTGTTGCTTTTTTTCTCGTCTGACTGATTTTCTCGATAACGACGTTGTCTTTGCCTATTAGCTTCACGTGTTTCAACAATTGATTGAAGTATTTGTGATGTTTTACGAACTGATAAAATTTTAGAACGAATCCGTAAACGGTATTCTCTTTGTTGATTGTTCACATGAACTTTATATGCTTCAGGATTTTGTTTCTTTTGACTCTCTCGATATTTGCGCATTCTTCGAGCATGACCAAGTAAAAAAGTATCTTGTTTGTTCGATTCCATTACCGTCGATAATATTATTTAATGTTTAAATAAATTCAGATTAAAATCAGCTGAATAAAAAATAATCAGTTGAATAAAAAAATCTTTTTTTATTGTATGATTTATAATTCGTTTTATTAAGGGGCTATTGTTTTACAAAATAATTAAATTTTCAATATAAATACAAGAACTATTAGTATTAATTAAAATAGATATTTAACTTCTGTATTAGATTGTACATTAAATCAAACTACATTGAAAGAAAATAAAAATTTCTTTATTTTATTCATATTGAATTTTAAATCAAATGATATTATAATAATGAAATTAAATTCAAAAAGATTCATTTATCTCATTAGATTCAAAGTTACATTAGATCATATTAGAACAACAGAATAAAATAGAATAATTTTAGCTTTTTCCTTCAATTGATCGTGAAAACAAGTTACATTATCATAATAAAATTACATCAAAAAAAGTTTTTTCTTCTTTTCTAAACTCAACGGTAAAGCAAGTTTTATTATAATAATATAATAAAATTTAAAAAGAAAAATCCTTTTCTTAAGATCGATCATCACATTAAATTAAATTAAAAAAAATTGAAAAGTATAATTACTTGAAAATATGGATACTATATTTCTGTAGTATATTAAATCTTAAAGTGATCGAACCCTAAAAAAGCTAAGTGCATTGAAAGAAAAAGATAATTAAGGTATAGAAATATTATTAGTACTTAACAATTCAAATAATATTTTCTGTTTGTCAAATTAATTTTTGTAATCTATAACTTAATACCGAATTAAAATCAAGCTAAAATATAGTATCTGTTATTTTAAATTTACAGATTATTTTTTGAATGGCAAGAAAGCGAAAGGATAATAAAAAATGGCGTTCTGGACCATCACGCAAAAAATCATACAGAAAAAAGAAAGCCACTCAAAAACCGTCTCAGATATGTAGAAGCAATTCAAAACCAAATCGTCCAACTAAACCATCTCAACAAAATAGAAGAAAAATTAATAAGAAAAAAAAACATTCTTTTGATCCATCAATAAGTCTTGAAACACAATCAACTGAACAAATATTTGATACACGAATAATACATGATTTTTTAAGTGAAAGGTTAACTAAAATTTTCCTTAATTAAAATTTTAATAACAAGACCCTATTATAGATATTTATCTGAAGTTCGACAAGTATGGCTTTCTTGCAAATGTTGTACATGTGAACATCCAAAATGTAACATGCAATTAGCAAAAAAAGAACATGAAAAATATCATGATTGTGTTGCGAATGATATAATCTGTCAATTTTGTTATGATTTTATTCCAAGTGAAAATAAACCTTTTTGTCCACATTCTCATGCTCGAAATATGATATCAATTCCTATGACACCTACATGTCTAAAACTTGGTTTTCTCGAACAAAGAGCAGTAGCACTAATGCATTGTTATATGAGTATTCTCATTATTCGTGGTCATCAATCAGCAATGGAAGGCCAAGTTGTACATTGTCAAGCCGATATTACTGATAACATAGGTGACCTTATTTTATTAATTCAACTGTAAAATTTGAAGCTTTCTCATAAATTATAGGCGACCTGTTACCATTTCCAAAGTGCTATGAATTTATGGCGGTTATTCAACAAAAACCGCCGAATGAAAATAATGAAATAAGATTCACGGTACGATACTCAGTAAGTGCTATTCAAATTATGAAGGCACTACAATTTCTAATTCAAAATCATTCTGGATATTTAAATAAACAAGTTCTACCTTTAAAAAAAATTGAAGAAATGTTTGAATGTAGACAAGACGATGTTGCTCCAATAAGAGTTATTGATTCTTATGCTTACAATAATTGTACAACATCCGCACCAATTATTCTCGGTGCTAATGAAGATTTTTTTGGTCCTATGTAAAAATTAATCTTATACCCATTTATGAATGTATATTAAATTTGATTTTAAAGTCGTACTCTGAAAGCAGGTGAAGACCCTATATGGAAAATTCAATCTGGAATGGAAGAATCTACATTTCCATGGATTTATCCTACAGGTGAAGGAGGAGAACTTGATACGAAAAGACCTATTCCACTTACACTTCGCGATTATTCTAAATTACGATTGATGTCTGCTGACAAAAGATGGCAATCAGATTCGATTTGGACATTTCGGGCTATGAACTTAATTCAAAGCGATGATCTATGTAAAGCTGTAAATTACCATGTAAAAAAACAATTCAAAAAAGATCGCTTATGTTATAACATCTATCCATGTAAGTATATCAATTCTTTGTTTCAGTCAATATTTAGAGTTGTTTTTACATTTTTTTGTCTATCACAATCAAATTCTAAATATAATTAAATTTTTACTTACGAGATATTTCTAGAGCATATTAAAAAAAATAAAAATATTATTTAAAAAAACGATATTATAAAATAGATTAATTAATTTAGCAATAGGAAAGGCTGTTTGGGGTACAGCTGCATTTTGGTATGCACCTCGAAAATCTCTACGCGCAATGTACGCAACCTTGGACAAACCAAATATTTTCATGAGTGCTAATCTACAAGATGATGTGGAATTTTTATGCCATATTAATCCAGTGCGATTTGGACATATAGATAATTTGAATTATGATGCAATTGATAATTTTTCTGAAGATGATTATTTACAATTGGTAAATGAAAACAGCGCACTTGTAGCACGTATGTGTCATCGGCGAATGCTTGCATTTGAGAAATTCATTAGTGATAAAAAACATCCTTTCTTCATTGATTATGTCGTTACAAATTATTTTTTTAAAATTGAATTTCAACGTAGTGGTCTCCCACATTTACATACTTTACTTTGGCTTGATAATTTTCCTTCTACTGATACAGCTGCAGGACGTAAAAAGATTATTGAATTCATTGACGCATTTCTTGATACATCATTACCAAATAAAGAAACAGATCTTGAAGGTTATCGACTTGTAAAAAAGAAACAAACACACATTCATACGTTTACTTGTTCAAAAGGTTCACTGATTAATTCATGAAGATATAATTGTAATATTATATTTTTGCAGGTAGCGTTAAAGTTCGTATTCGTCGAGCTCGTAAATTTAAAGATGAAGAAACATCAAAGATTATCAAAGCAAATCATTTAAAGGATGTTAATAAAAATTATTTAAATGAAAATGAAATATATGAACAAGTAGATCCAGAAAAGGATCCTGATCTTTTACAATTATTAAGAGATAGGAAAGAGTTTTTTGAACGATTAGGATGTCGTTTTGGAAGTCCTTTTGATTTGGCTCATGAAAGTCATTTTCGCACTTACAAAGAAGCACGTATGTTAACAAGAGGAGATCGAGATATTATTATAAAAAGATTAACTGAAGAGGTAAAATTAATTTATATACCTAATTATTCATTTATCTATTTTGTTCATATCCATTGTATTTTCATGCTTATTATAGTCGAGACGAATAATTCCGTACAATCTAAATTTTTTGAAAACATTTCGTTGCAATCATGATATTCAAGTTATTACAGATCCGTGGGCATCAGCAGAATATTTATTTTCTTACGTGGCAAAGGGTGCTCATATGGAAAAAAATTTAGTATATCAAATGTCTAATTGTACTTGTTCAAGTATAATGGAAGCGAAAAGTGTCCTTTTAAAAACAGGAAATGCTGTGTTATCTCATCGTCAAGTTGGTAAAGTTGAAGCATCATGGACTGTACTAGGTATACCAATATATAATGGACAAAGCTATAGATGCCATATCAATTATAGGTATTCCTCTATATCATTCATTGTTGAGATGTAAAAGTTTATATATTTCTTTACCGTGTGATGAAGAAAAAATATTGAAACGCGGACGAACAGAAGTAAATAGTCTCGATGACTTTGTTCAATCACTTACAGATCGATATATAAAACGACCATCTACTCCATCTGTCATTGATCAAATAACTTTATTTGAATTTTTAACATGGTTTGATTATGACCGATCCTCTTCTATAAACTTGCCAGAAATATTGGAAGAACCACTTGTTGAAAATCCTCTTTGGCGTACTGATTTTAATCAACCACCACTACTTAAAACATCAACTTTACTACGTCGAATAGTTCTATCATGTGGCACAATATTAATTCAGCACAAAGAACCTTCTCGTATTAGTTTTATGTGTCGTTATGATGATTCTATGTTAGCCATCTATTCAATTCTTTCAATTGGTATAGCATATCGAGATCCATTTGCAGAATTTCTTAATAATAAACAAGGTATATGATTTATAGAATTGATACATACATTTATGGAAATTTTCTCTATTAATTCTTTAGACAATGATATAAAAGATTTGTATCAAACTTTATTAAAAAATCGAAATAAATTAATTCAACAATTTTCTACATTACCTGGTGCTTATAAAGTACAAATGCTTAGTGCACTTGAACATTTATGTGATTTAAATGCTCATGATTTTGCCATCAAACCCAGAACATCATTTATATTTACAGGAGATGATGAAGATGATATAGAGGATAATATCAATGAAGATAATAAAGAAATCAGTAATAATAATACTAGTAATTATAAAATAGATTCAAATCAAAATGTTATAAATGAATATATTAATGATGAAGACGAAGAACATACGCATTCAAAAAATGATATTCAAATTAATTCTCCTTCTACACGAACAGAAGAATTATTAACATCAGCAAATACACAGCAACGTTTTTTGGCCAAGTTTTTCAGACAATATCTTTTAGCAATTATGCGCTATGAAGAAAATCGACTACGATTGAAACACGCATCTAAACCATTACCTTTTCATATAGTAGTGAATGGTCTAGCCGGTTCTGGAAAATCTTATGTCATCTCTATTATTGAACAAATGCTAACCGATTTTTGTATTAGTGAATCTGCAATTCGAAATCGTCCACGACGCAGAAAAGGATTATTAAAAATGGCACATACTGGAAAAGCTGCTCTAAATATACTTGGTTGGACTATTCACACTGCTTTAGGAATGGTAAGATTGTACCTAGTTACAAATTCAAAAGAATATATATGATTTATAAATAGCGTCCTGATAATACATCAACACCAAATAATGCTCCATCATTTAAAATACATTCTCTTCGTAACAGACTTGGGGATTTAATTTTAATAATTATTAATGAAATTTCACTCGTCTCACATAGCCTTTTTCAAAAAGTTAACAAACGTTTAAATGAAATTTTTGAAGTATCAGATAAAAGCGGTGTTTATTTTGGAAATATTCCTATCTTGCTATCCGGTGATTTGGCTCAATGTGAACCAGTTGCTGCCAAACAAATTTTTTGGCGACCTCCTAGTGAGACGTTCTCTCTTTGGGCTGATTTATTTAGACCAATCAATTTTAATATTAATATGCGTCAAGGTGAAGATAGACAATTTTTTGATATTCTTTCTCAAATGAGATTAGGTATGTTTACTTTCCATTGAAATGATAATAATGATGATAGAATAATTGTCAAGAGAATACAATGAAGAAGATGAAATTATAATAAAGAGTCGAAGTATTAGAAAAGAAGACAATCCAATATACTATAAAGATCGCTTAGCTGAACTTCAATCAGCTGAATTTGCCAATGCTATATATCCGTATAGCACACGAGCTAAAACAAATGAGAGAAATTCAATTAAATTAAAAGAAACCGCAACAAAATTGAAAAACCCAATATGGATTATACAAGCAGTTGATGTTAGTTAGAATTCTCAAAAAGAAATTTTCACACATGACTATATACTTTTAGAACATCGGTATGGCTCGAACATCATTTTTTAATCCTATTAAAGCAAGCAAGAAAGATTGTAAAATTCAATTAAAACCTTCTAATGATGAAAATGAATGTGGATCAATGTTCGAACAATTACCATTATGTGTTGCTGCTCGTGTTATTTGTCGTCGTAATATTGATTTTGATGGTGGAATGGTAAATGGAACTGAAGCAATTGTCAAAGATATTATTTGGGATAATAATGATAATATTATATTACCAATGTCAAACAGATGTGTATTCACAAATCTTGATCGAGCAATGGCTACATCATTGCCAAAATATGTTGAACTCGGTAATACAGATTAAAATATTTAATTTATTCAATATTATCTTTTGTTTTATAAGAACTGGATAATGGTACAATATACAAAATGGTTCCAGAAGAAGTAACTTTTAAAAACAAAAATGGAATTTTGATGATCCGACGACAATTACCACTTAGTCTTGGTTATGCTATAACAATTCATCGTTCACAATGCATGACTTATAACAAATTAGTCGTTGATCTCACTGGTAGAAACTGGAAACCGGGTATGTTTTATACAATTTTAAGTCGTACGAGAAAATTAAATGATATAATTATCTTGGCATAGGATCGCAAATCATTTAAAGTAATTTTTTATCGTAACTATCTGCCTACTAATATTACTTTATAAGGTATCTAAAGCTGCACTAAACGAAATGTGTCGTCTCGAACAAATTGAAAAAGATTACCCAATCAAAATTGAACAATATTTAAGAACTGAGGTGTACCATTTTTCTTATCTAACTATCATAGTTTATATATCATTGTAGAGATATATTGATTGGTGTCTTCCACATTTACCTGAGACTGATAACACTTCTTCTATAGCATTAAAGAGAAGTGCTGAAATAATATCTAACGATATTATTGTTAAAGAATGCAAATTTGAAAACTCAAATTTGTGTTCAACAAAATATGTGAAAAATTTAGAAGATATTATTATCTGTGAAAAACAAGATCGAAATTATTGTGGGCGACATGTTCTTCGTGGACTATCTCAACGACTTGATCTATTTAGTGATGAATATTTGAAAGAAATTGCTAAAAATCTAGCAGCTACTGAGCAAATATTTCGACATGGAGAATCAGTAGAACTTACAGATTACTATTATGAAAGCAGTGGAGATTATGATATTCAAATTCTAAAAGCTGCTCTTATCAATACATTCAACATTGAAATTGTACAGATTCATACGTTAGAAACAAATACTACTTCTATGCAAAGTCTAATTGTATTTAATATTCAAAATGTTCAAGCATTAATTATTCAACAAAATTATCATTATTATTGTTTACGTCGCTTTCGATTAACGAAAGATTATTTTTTCAAAATAGATTCAAAATATCCAATACAACATGAACCTATTCATCGTGAGCATATAGTGAACTTTCTTCGTACTATTTTAGAACAAGGGTCAAACGTTTATGTGCTTGTACAATATGTTTCGGATCATATTAATGATCAACTTTCTATAGATAACATTGAAAAAAGACTGTGGACATTACCAGACGCACCAGCTGATCTAGAATGTTTAGTTAATATCTACGATACCCAATAAATGATACAGAAAATTAATAGTAATTTAGTCATATAGAAAAAAAAGAGTAAAAAGGTAAGTAATAGAATGCTCTATTTAGATATTTTAAATAAAACAGAAACTAGTAAAGGTTCTTTTACTATTTTTTCGTCATTCAAATATAACTCTAAGATTTTTATGATAATAATAATGCATAATAAAATGAATTTAGGAAATAGATTATATTATGAACTAAGAATAACTAAACTTATATCTGTTATATATTTATTAATTATACTTTAATTCTTGAGAATGTTGACTGTTTTATTGACATTACTTTTTTTTATAATGTTTATTTATTTGATTTGACGATTCATTAATTATTCTTATACTTAAATATCAATTTTTGGTTAAATTATTTAAATATTTAACCAAAAAATTAAAAATACGATAATAGTAATGACGACGTATATGCATTTTGTCAATTGCTAACTGACTTGACGTTATACGAAAATCTATAGTATTAAAATTTAATTCAAATGATAATTGATATAAACGATAATTATAAAATTGGATATTTGATATTAAAGCATATTTTTTTGAAAATTTACGAGTAGTTTTTACACAAGGAAAAGATAAAGGTATAGTAATACTTTCACGTTGATTAAATTTAGGATACACCTTACGAATGAAAAAAATTATTGCTTCAATTTGTGAAATAATTGTACGTGCTGAATGAATTCTAACTGAGTTTGTTCCAACTAACAATATAATTCCATCTGCTTCAGATAACAAATATTGAATTTTAGATGAAAATAATAAATGTAATAACGAAAGTTTTTTATCATGATAATCTATAAATTTTAAACCTGGAATAGATTTAATGATCAAAGAATAAGATGATGTCATAAATCTTGAAGGCATACGTCGAGCATGACTATCACCTAATACTAGAAACTTCATTGACGAAATGCAATAAATATTGTTTTTATAATTACTGGTTTAATATAAAGTTGTATGTAGCTATACTAACATTAGGCGCGCTGAATAAATAAATAAAAAAAGAATCTTCTATACGTCGAAAAAGTTTTTTAATTATAAATGTAATTAATTCATCAATAATAACTATAAATTATATTATATAATTATATTAATAAGTAAGTTTTTAGATAAAGAATTATCTATTGATTCAAATTTGTCTTACTTCAATGTACAAGTAAAATCTAGAATATTATTTATTTCAAAAAGAATTATGCATAATACAAACGTCACATGAAAAAATATTTTTTTTTATATACGATTGATGTTCAAATAAAACTTGAATAACTTTGAGAAATGAAAAAAATTTAAAGATATATAGTAAAATTTATATTAAATATTTACTACTCAAAATATTACATCATAATATTATTCTTTTAATTTTCATGATTTAATCAAATTCTAGATAATCGATATATTGTTTAAGCAATCTGCCTTTAAAAAATAAAAGTAAAAGTTATTATCACGGTTATCAATCAAATCGACATCTATCTATACATGTGAAAAAAGACGAATCAACAACATTATAGTATATAACTATGATTGAATTTGAAATAAATTTTCCAAAAATAGGAAATAGTTTATTTATACACTATCAAATTTAACATATTTAATTTTATACTATACGAAATTATACTTTATATCATAGTTAATTAAACTGAAATGTTACATAAAAAAATTCCCCGATTAGACATCATTACAAATTATTAAACTTGTATAACTGATGAAAAAATACTTTGTTTACTTTTCGAATATTCAATATTTGAATTATTGTTTAAATTATATATGGTAAATGCCTAAACAAGATAAAAAATTTAATGTTCAATATCAAAAAAATATTCTCGTACAATTTTCAAAATAAATAATCTTCATAAATATGACTTTATCATTGATTATTATTATTTATAATCTAATTTGTAATTGAGTTAAGAAATTCTGACTATATTGTATAGCTATTATTTTTTTAATCTTGGCAATAAAGTATATATTTCTTTTATATATTCAAATAGTTTAAAATAAACGATGATAATCAATGATATTCAGATTTCAGACATGTAAACTGCCTTATAAATTTCAAAGGAAGAAATCCCAAAGATATTCCAAATATTTAATTATAAAGATTGAATTTAATTTGATTCACCGAAATAAACAAGTAACGCGCGTCGGAGCGACTCGCTTGACCCTCGACTGTGT